TTATTATTATTATTATTATTATTATTATTATTATTATAGGAACTATGAATATTAAGCATGCTTGCTCAACAAATTGTCAGGTCCACACTCTTCAAAGCTAGATTTGCTGCCAGTCCTACTTTCCACTCCAAAATTTAAAATGAAACCTGATTTCCTCGCCACACACTGGATTCTTTCTTTAAATAGAAATGTCTTTGTTTCCCTGAAACCAACATGGGGCAGTACCAGCCATTACCATTAGGGAAAATGGAACATCTGGTGGCACATTCTGGGGTAGGTGACAGTGGCTCCCTAGATGTTTATCCAAAATGCCCTGGCCATGTCCTTGTGTTGGAGGGCAGAGTTTGCTACATGACATCTCCTGTATCTCCTCATGTGCAGCTCAGGCAAGACTGGATTATAGTGTCTGGTCCCTCAAGCAGTTCCAGAGATAATTCGTCTCCCTTTGTTCATGTGTAGGAGTTTTTCCTTCGGAGGGGTGGATCAGGCTTGGTGGTGTCCGTGTGTCCAAGGCATCCGGTATGGATGCCAGAGCCGGTCCCTCTCAGGCAGGGGTAGGCAACCTAAGGCCTGGGGGCCAGATGCGGCCCCCCAAGGCCTTTGGACCAGCCCCAGGCTGGTCCTGCCACCACCGCCACTGCCTTCCATGATGATATTGATTATTGTTGCTATTACTTGTTCTTGGGGTTTTCTTGGCAAAATCTCCACAGGGGTTTTGCCATGGCTTTTCTGGGGCTGAGAGAGTGTGCATGCATATTTTTTTAATTTTTAAAAATTTTTTAATTTTTATTTATTTGTTTCTTTTTGGTGCTTCGGCCCCCCAATTGTCTGAGGGACAGCAACCCCACCCCGGCTCAAAAAGGTTGCCTACCCCTGCTCTCAGGCCTAAGGGAGGGCTGTCCCCTTTCTTGTTTCTCAGTTCTGTGACCAAGCCAAAATCTCAGAGGCATCCATGGGCTGGGAAACAGGCTGAGGTCCCCAAATGGAATTGTGTTTGAGTTCCCAAAGATAGAATCCATTGTATTCTCCATCCCCCCATATGGATGTGAGAGCTGGACAGTGAAGGTAGTGGTTAAGAAGAACATTAACTCTTTTGAGATGTGTTGGAGAAGAGTGCTGAGGATACTGTGGATGTCCAAGAAGACAAACAAGTGAGGAGTCCTTGAACAGGTAATGTCCAAAATCTCTCTGGCAGGACTAAACTGAGGCTGTTGTAGATTGGCCACGTCATGAGAAGACATAACTCATTGGAAAAGGCAATGATGCTGGGGAATGTGGAGGGTAACAAAAAGAGAGGAAGGCCTCATGCCAGATGGAGAGACTCAACCAGGGAGATCATGGGACTAAGTTTGCAAGACCTTAGCAGAGCAGTGATGGTCAGGAGGTCTAGGAGGTGTCTCATCTGCTCCAATTTGAACAGTTACGGACCACTTGAGGGCAGTTAACAATTCCAGGCTCTGTAATGGCTCTGTAATCAGGGTGACCAGACGTCCTCCTTTTCCAGGACACACCCTCCATTCCCACCTTCTGTCTGGGAGGAATTCCCCAAATCTCCTCCATTTGGAGCATGACTAAGAAGCACGAATTTACCTTTCGCTGAGCGGTTTTTTGCTTGTTGTTTTTAGCTTTTATTTGGTCATGCCCTCTATTTTTCCTGAAGGTCCTCCCTTTGGAGCATGACTAGGAAGCACCGGATTTACCTTTATATTAAGTGTCTCCACCTTTTCTTTAGTCATGTCCCTCCATTCCCCTTTCCCAGGACTATGCCCTCCATTCCCACCTCCTGCCCAAGAGGAATCCCCAAAGAAGCATGATTCCGAGGCAGGGATTTACATTTCTTAGGAGTGTGTGTGTTTTGAAAAAGCTTTTCTTTCTTTAGGCATGTCCTCCATTTTCTTTCCCCCTGGAAGACCTTCCATTTCGCAGGGCCTTCTTGTCCTCCTGGGCGGTGAAGAGGACACCTCTGGTCACCCTGCTTTGGAGGGGGGCTGCCCTTCACCCTTGTTGTTGTTGTTGTTGTTTGTGGTGGTGGTGAACTGCCTTTGCGGAGGTCTCGACCCATGGCAGTGACCCTATGGAGGAGACATCTCCAGGCCCCCCTGTCCTCTCCTGCTCTGCCCAGCTCCTGCAAATTCATGTTCGTGGTCTCTTGACTAAAGTCCATCCATCTAGCATGCGGCCTTCCTCTCTTTCTACTCCCCTCCACTTTCCCCAACATTATTGTC